GGTTAAAGAAATTATTTCAAACATATTTGTTACTCTTCAGCAGTCTACATGGTCAATGCCAAAACCATTCTAGGATTCCTGCTGGAACCACTATCAACATTTTTAATCCTTTCGTATTTTAACATCTGGGCTATTACCAGGTCAGCTTACTGGACAGACAGAAACAGCGGCTAACATCAAAGAGTGCTTCAAAATACAACCACAAACATGGTAGATATTAATGTTATCACATGGAGTCATGGGTAAACTGGACATATTGACAAATAACAACCAGGACACTTCATATTGATGTTCTGGTTCAGTGTAAAGCATTAATTTGACATGAATCTGGGTATGACAAGTCAAGCCGCATGTTATATAATCATAACTCGAGGAATATCTAGCCAATCATCCTTACACAATGTTTCTCCTAACTCCCGTTTTACCAATAGTAGAACCAGTGAGAAAGTTTGTGCTTGTAATGAGGACTAATTTCGCTAGAATGGTAGTTATTACATCCATCCATTGATTGAAAAGTCAACATAGTTGCAGGGGATCAACACGAAACAATTAGCCTTCAACATCACAACTGCTTTGGCCAAAGAACTGACTTAGCGGAACTGTTGATGCTGTGGTTTTACACCGCTTTTAGCAATGTACCAGCAATACCACAGCTGGGGACACTAGGAATGGGTTTCACAGGTTATACCCAAGTGTGTCTGTTGCCGTTTGTAATACAATGTTATTAGGAGAGTGGGTTTTACTTCTAAGCTTAGAAATAGTCCAGCCCTTTCACAGGAGCGGCGCCTACAACCATGATCATTGGCTTCCACTATTGTACGTCTCGTGAAGATTCCGGATTACAATTGGTTTTCAGCAACCCATGCTTGTCATAAGAGATAACTAACAGGATCGGGTGACCAGGCTTGCTTGGTTGATACATTTCATCGTATCCAGATTGCACAGATCAATGCTCATGATGTCAATCACTGGATTGTCTGGTCCAGATTTGATTATTACAGACTGCCGTCATATAGCTGGAATATTGCTGAGTATGGCATTAAATAAATAAACAAATAATACATTGTACACATGTGGAATATCAACAAGCCACCATTATACAAAGTATAAATATATCCGACATACAGATACATGAACAGTCACTTCTCAATACACAAATGACATGAGCATGTTGAGCTGTTCTCATGCATGTGAAAAGGTTGAACAAGTTCATTAAGGTGTGGAGCGTCAGGTGACACAGTCAGCCAGTATCAGCCACATGTCACCACACTGAATCGAACTGAACTCAATGTTGATGACATTGAAGTGTAACAAACGTTCAATGTAAGATCAAGACAAATAAAATTAAAGCAACAATCAGCAACACTGTTAAAACACTGATCGAGAATAGAGGTCTGCTTTGAATGACAAGTGCTCGCAAATAAATGAGGCAGTTTTATGATGCATCACAATACGCCTACCCAATGACATGATATGTATAACAAGAGTTATTTTGTACCATATTGGCTTGAAATCCCTCATATTCCATGCAGCCCCATATAATTTGACCTAATCTTGTTAGACTATTCTAGCATTATGTTTCGTAACGGGCAGTTAGGAGAAGCTAGTCAAGTAATTATCTGGTTTGACTATTGCAAATCATAAAAGTTACTTTTTGAAACCTGATACTGGTTGATAATTTAAAGCGAAATAATTCACAGTTCACTGGCATTGTCATACCTTTTTAATTGAAAACTAAATGAGTGAAAAAGTCGAAAAAGTAAAACAAATGTCATCAATGTTAATTTTCCCAAAACAAAAACTATGAAGATTGTGGATTTGGTGGGGTTAACAATACCAGAATTGAACTCTGGTCCACAAGCAAAAATACTAACCACAAGACTATCCTACTCAATGCTACCAAAGATGTCACTACAGTTGCACTGCAGCCAACAGTGGTGGAATGATAGCAGCTTTGGTGATAAGTATCTCCAGGGGCTTCACAGATTGGGAGTGAGTGAGTATGGTTTTATGCCGCTTTTAGCAATATTCAAGCAATACCATAGCTGGGGACACCAGAAATGGGCTTCACACATTGTACCCATTTCGGGAATCGAACCCGGGTGACAAGGAAACGCTTTAACCACTAGGCTACCCGGCCGCCCCCTTCACAGATTGGATTCAGTTAGTGAGTGGGTACAGTTTTACACTGCTTTCGTCAATGTTCCAGCCAACCCATAACAGGCTTGAGAATGCTTGTCAATTGACATATTGACTGTGCACTGAGCAATATTCAAGCAATATGACAGTGGTCGAGTCTGGAGCAGACAATTCAGTGATTGACATCATAAGCATCAATCTACACAATTGGGATACGATTACATGCATTAGCAAGCCTGACCATCCAATCCTGTTAGTCACCTCTTATGACATTCATAGGTTTGACCATGCGTGGAATCGTACATAGGTCTTTAAGAAAATAAGCAAATGCTATAATCACAAGGCTTCCAACCGCCCCAATTACCACAACAAGGCACATAAGTATGTTCACTGTTAATGGGGCTTAAGGTTACATAACATCAAAGACTGTTATTTCCTGCAATAATGTACATTAGGTGCAAACAAATTGTCAAAAAGATCACATTTACTTTTTAAATTATGCATATTTAATTCACATCAGTAACATTGAATTAATCCAGGGGCACTGGGGAGCTTGGCGTACATTACAATCCACATACATAAAGGCATAATGAATTACAATCTGAAGCTAAGGTGACAAATTTACAATTACATACTCATGCTAATGAATCATAGTTCAAACTGATTTACCCTATGAAGAACATTGGCCACTAAGGATGGGTGAGTGAGTATGATTTTACACTGCTTTTATCAATATTCCAGCAATATCAAGGTGGGGTGGGAGGGCGGGGGAAGCATATATAATGGGTTTCACATATTGTACCCAGGTGGGAAATTTACTATTAAGACAACATACAGACATCGCTGTACATTAAAATAAACCATGACTATATGGTCTATACATTGTTTTTCTTCTCACAATTATTCAGGTTAATGTAACATCTGATTTGTCACCACTCAAAATAACCCTGAAACAACAACAAAAATATTCCACCTAGTGGACCCTTTAGAGCCAACCCGTGTATGAGCACAGCATATACTACAGGGGAAATCACTCCAACACAATCGCCCTGAATGGAGGACACTAAACACACTTCACCATGTCCTATTCAAACCAGCTCCAACCTATTGACACACAAACCCATGCATGTACACCAACACCCATGTTAACCAGTCCTGACCTACTTACCCAGCTGACCCTATTATTCAACCATTCAGCCCTATTAATTTATAGCTGTTACCTTGGTAGAGCCCCCATAAAAAACATACTTAGTTAAACTTTGTTGATCTTAACCTGATCTACCATATTTACTCCTTCACAAACATTGCAAATATAGATACAAATAGTGTTAACTTCAACACATAACTTTGTTTCTGCAGCATAAAACAATATTCTAATTTCTATGAAGAAAATATTCATTCACCAGGAAAGGGCAGAACACATGGTACTCCTGCAGTAATTGAAAGCGTTTACGTTGGAAGCTTCATCAGGTGCTATATTTCATTATATACAAATGGGATGGGCCAGATTTATTATCACTTCCAGCATATGGGAGCTTTGTAAATACAGTGACTGCCACACTAGATATTCAATCCTTGGGGATGAACCATTTGATTATCAAGGGGTGGGATCCCTACAATGTGAGGCATATGTAAGAAAAATAATCTTTCAAGATTAATCTTAAGAAACAATTCACCCATCACTGACAATAAAATGGTTGCTCCCTTATGAAGACTTCAAATGTTATTTTTTCAGAATATTATGCTTGATGAATTATACCAGACAGAGAATGTTGATAAATGATGACATGCTTCCTTTAATGATTTCTGATGCATAATGTACCACAAGTAATGTATTGGCTGCGTGCAGGGCTGCCATGAAATCCATAACGAATTCTACAGTCATATTTCAGATGTATCTTCAACACCTACTTACTGTCACATAATAGTTCAACTGGACAATCAGTCCTGAATTATAGTTGGAACCAGATCATTAAAAATGTGGGTCTCAAAGTCATTACAAACAAAACCTTACAAATAGATTAAAAAGGCCTTGTAAAGAAATGAATGTCACTGTAAATGCTGTAGTATCAATAATGTGGAATAAATGTCATATCATCTCTTAAATACCATGAGCATGCAAACATGTATGTATTAACAGGAACAATGTTAATAACATATGTATACACTCTGGGCAATACTGATTATCATCAACAGCTTAAAACAATGTCTAACATCATCACAATGTTCTTATCCAGCTGACTTGGTGACACAGAATAACATACATGTGTTTCTTCAAGCTAGTAAACCATAAACGGAAATGTTTGTGTAAGCAGGTAGATATTTCATGTATTTAAAAATAACAATTTCCTAACCACAACAAATAAACATTATAAGTATTTAAGAACATTGGAAATATTGAACGATGACATCTCAAATCAACCACTGTGGAAGCGGAGGTATTGTTACCACATACTGTACTTAAACAGGAGGTGTATACCTAAACATTACATCACAATGAACATTCATCAAGTCAATTTATCATGGTTGCAACCTGTTTGTTGCATAGCAGATGATGCAAAGTCTTCACCTGTCAATAATGAAAGACAAAGGGGGTGAAAGATGGGTGGATATGCACCTATCTCCACGTGATGGATGGAACACAGTGACTTTCAAGCACTGGCAATGTCAGCTGTCATGTCAGCTGTCAGTCAGCTTAATATGCAGTAAAAGCAATAAACCATACCTGTCTGACCTGCAAGATCTGTCACAGAGCAATACAGCTGCAATCACGTTGGAAATCACATAATCCACACGCAGAAAACACAGTGTATCCTATATTCCCTAGTTTTGACGTTTCAGTAAACTGTAGACAAGGATACTCGCTTATCCACGGGAAAGCGCCTATGAGGCCCTGTCGGTCGCACTCTATGAATTCGGTCCACCAGGTTCGGTTTGCCATGTCTTATGTCGTCTAGATGCTGCAGGGCGGTCTGTAAGAACGCAAATAAATTTATTACCGTTGTTATAGGAACATTAATGTGCAAAATGGAATTAACATTTGTATCAGTAATAATATAAGAAACGCGGCGCCATCTTCGTTACTATAGTGGTCTCGTGTTATCAGTATCCCACATGCACAGAATCTAGGCCAACGTTACCTGCAAATCTATGCCGGGACTGCCGCCTATTTGGTTGACATTCGGTAGCGAGCCACCACGATATACTCCGAGATTTGGCGTTATCGGCAAGTGTTGTTTTGGGTATGAAGGTCCTGGACCCTAGAAAGGAAAAGGAATGCCGTATTAGATGAGAATTACAGAAGGAAAAAAACATACGAATCCACTTCGGTCTCGAATTGCGAGGGTGCACCCCCGCCGACCGCCATAGCTGTTGAAACTAGGCCACATATTGCTGCGATACTCACCCGCGTGGCACTAGTAACCTCCTTGATAATCGCCTCAAAAGCTGCCGTCTCTTCAGCCTGTTTCTGATTGTGTAAAGCTATCTTTTCGCTGAACTTTCGTGGGTTCGCCATAATGGCTGAAAACGACAAGCTTGTTATGATTTTGGCAATGCAGGGGGTCCTATAGCCATTGGACCAATCATTGTTCTCCGATTGATCATGTGACAGCGAGGTAGATGGCAGCACTAGCACCTGTTTATAGAGCAGTAGTGAAAGCTTGAGACATCAGTGGCGATTTGCCACTGAATGTACTTCTGATATTGACATTGACAGTTCAATATTAAGATTTGGTAACACTTCAAACCCCACAAAATGTATATTTCATTGCACGAAACGGAAAGCACCCCAAACTTGAGCTCCACACAGCGTCTAAACGGGCTACAGAAACAGTTAATGAGATTAACACCGATAGGCATTTTAGCGTGTGAACTTATTGATAAGCAATTGATCATGACTCGTTAAGTGTACAGTAGCAAGTAAATCATATTGACCGCGTTATATAACATTGCATGCGCCTGAGACTTCTGCCGTGGTAAATACAAAAGAAGGTGACCAGAATGGGCCTGAAATGAAATTATAGCAGCCCTGTTATAAAGCAAGAATTCTTAAGCCTTTTTAATTTATGGAGTGTAATGAGACGAAATAAATTGAAATTTCTTCAGCTGAAACACACTCGTCATTAAATATTTATTATTGGCAGTCACAAATAGAGATTATTACACGAGTGTGTCGTTCTGATTTTACAGAACAAGTGTCAGAATTTATGCGTTTCCCGAGCCAAAGGGGGAGAAATATTGCATTCTTAAACGGCTTTCTTAAGACAAGCATGATACTCAAAAGAATATAATAGTTCCTTATTATCGATAATATTATGAATATTGAAGTCATTTTTCAAGAAGAATGTAGGCCATCGGCCCTTATTTACAATGGTGGTCCATTATGGCGTATAAAAAAATGAAACAATGTGATTGACGAAGTAAATCATGTACACCAGACAAGCCATTGGTAATACACAACAGGAACAAAATCTCTCAAACGGTTTGCATGGTAGAGAAAAATTGGCTCCCCGTTTGATAGTGTTTACATTTGATGTTGATATCGGGTTAAGAAGAGAGGGTTGCACTAGATGCTTTATAGGTATATATTTCTCACGAAAAAAAAATAGTTTTCACATACTAATAAAAAAAATACATTTATCTTCTTCATAAATAATTTTACAATGCATACACCACTTTTCCTCCAAGGTTTGTTGCAATAACGACCAGTCTCAATTTCTCGGTTGTCTGAACTGCAACGAAACATTGCTTGTGCAATAGCTATGAATAGCTATCGCGAAGTAACCGCGTCATGTTAAGAGGAGAAGCGCGTCAAGAGGCTGACATGGCGCCAACAATACCAGAGCGTGATGTCACCTTAACACCATGACGTTGCTAAATCTTACGACGTCATGATGTCTGCACAACGTCAACAGAACGACGTAGTCATCACGTGCGACTATATTTGGCATCAGACGAGGTGAAATTGAATTTAACGTCGCGTTCAGGATTATCGCACTTATATTATGGAGACGTGCATGCATGTGTGTGACGGGGAGTGCGTGCGCGCGCATGTGTAGCTGCTTGTACTAGTAAGACTAATGTCGGTGTTGTATTTATAGTGCTAGCACCCTGAGATACGAAAACCTCACTCAGACACAGTATACTGGTTCCGAGGCGACCAGTCCTTGACTTTCCCCCAATAATCCAGTGCGCAATGCAGAGTATAACAACAAACTTCTTTTTATATGAGATCGATCCCCGACCTTCCGCTTACCCGGACTGTCGACTAAAACCACGGTGGCGGTATTTTGGCTTCAGCTAGTCGTTCGAATGAGGGCGTCGGTAGCGAACACTGATACCTGCTACTACATACGATTGAAATAGAGAGAGGATACGGACACTTGGTATTGCAGTAATGCAAAACATCGTGACAGCTTCAGCGCATCACTAATAAACAAAACATTACGTCGACATTGATCGCCGAGTTAACAACTTACGACCTTGAACTTCGTGTTGTAAATGAGAGTAGCCTCCCTTGAACCAAGTGGCCTGTCTTTAGAAACGTCATCCTCGAAAGGTCGATCATCTCTCGAGCTCCTTCCATCTATACACTGATCAGAGTTTGGTGTATTCGGAAGCTAGACTTTCCCGCTGAATGCACACATTTCTAACTTGGTAATGTTTGTTTTTCTGAGATCGCGAACATGATTTTACAATAAACATCTTATCTTTTCCTATTATTGATCTCGGAGAAAGCTGCACACTTTATTACCAGGTAGCACCTTGAGAGAAACGTCCATGGTCGAATCATCAATATCAAATGTTGTAATCATACACCACCATTATACCAGGGACGTTATTTATTCCACACTAAATTTGGATAATGTGCAAAGTTTAAGTGAGTAATAAATAAATCACTACTCTCGTCTCCAATAGATACAGTTTTTAATACGAGTGTGTTTCAAAAGGTATCTCACACTCGTAATAAAAACAGTATCTAACGGGGACTCCTTTATTACGTTAACAATGCCATTCAGCGCCCCTCGTCCGCTCATCAAGAGACCCCATGAATCCCTCGCAGAAGTCTTACAGCCGTAAACCTTTCTTAAATTGTGTATTACACACAAGACAGAATCGTTAGAATCTAAGTGCTAACATTAATTATTTCGTTTGAAAACTATTTTAGTATTTTTTCTAAGTTTAGCCGTAGCAGGCACCATTCCTGGGACATGTTTTACAAATATTCCCGTTAGCCGTGTATGCCAAATCTATATCACGGACTCCAAAAACTCCGTTTTTATTGGGACTGGTTTATAGCGACAGGAATAGCTTGTGACGTGAGCAGCCACTGCCGATGTTGTCATTACCCTGCTGAATCGTATTTGTCCACACGTAACAACTGCCGCATGTAGTTTTGTAGTCATGCAACATGACAGTGGAAATTATATTTTTTAAGGTATTCTTTTTTACTAAAAGCCTAGGCAAGTCTAAATCAAACTAACCAAGTCTAGTTTGCTTAAACAGCAGAAGAGGTAAGGTTCTTTCGAAAAATAATAATTATTATTATTTGAAAGCCTTTTTGTCATTGACTAAGTGTTAGTCTTGCAGTTTTGGAGTCATGGAATTTCAACGAAACAAAGTTATAGCCATAACAAGTTTCTAAAATCAACACTTATTTGGTTTGCAGGGACTGAAACAATCGCGAAAATATATCTCCCAATCATAAATGTAATGCGTCTCTAATTTGTCATATGTCATCAGTTATTAACTTGCATGTGTGCATAGTGGCCTTCAACCAAGGATGTATTGAAATGGTATATGATCTTACGTCGCTATGAATAGTATTCCACACTATCACGACGGGGGATACGATTTGATTTTAGACACTATACCCATGTGGAGATTCAAACTGAAGTTTAGGCGTGACGAGCGAGCGCTTCAACCACTATTTATTCCAGATCGTATATATCCCAAAGGTCGTCATTCCAAATGAACGGTAACACGCTGAACAGATTACTGAGCGTATATAGGACTTGACTTGCCTTGCTACGTTTTATGCGACTATTCACTTTCTCCGACTTTGTTACATCCAAAGTATAATGCATAAAGGTTATACAGCCGTTATAATACAAACAATATTTGTTGTGGTGAAGAAATGCAGAGAAATATCAATTTCGCCAACCAGAAATTAAATTAGCTGTGAAGGTATGCATGTCCTGACTTAATTGAGAAGGAAAACAAGGGAAGTAAAAGGCTTGAGAGACAAAAGCATCTTTAACGCAGGAGACGTTGAGAAATCCCAAAGCTCGTAATTCCCCGACTTACTCCTTATTGACTGGATTTCTGCAGCCGACGCGCTAGCCGCTCCGTGTAGCGACCCCCCCAGAGAGACAAGCTCTTCCAGACATCTGCCAGGACGACACGGTAATGGTTAATGGCCACACCAATTGGCGAACTTTTAAATTGAAAATTTGCCATGCGAGAATTAGGCTTTTATTTGAGGTTAATTCAAGCGGAAAACGAACCTCAAATCTGTATTCAGAGCAGCATTCTGGATGTTGTGGCGCGTGACTGCATACGCCACTGCTCCATGAATTCTTCAAGTAAACGCACTTGAATCAGTACTGACTATAGAATCGGTTCCACACTTGGGTCTTCCAATATATGTATGTGCCGATGAGTTCTATTTATTTATGCGTCACTCAGTGTGAAGAGCCATACAGGTAGAATTTCTGAAGAATCGCACTGGTATATGCAATTGTGGCACCAGTCTAAGAGCCTGCGTATTGTTTTTTAACTGTCTCTATCAGTGCAAGGTTATAGTGACGCGTAGAAGTCCACGGACGTGCACGACGAGCGCTTATCTTAAAAGGCGCATGTAGGTCGTGCTGGGCGAGAGGGTCACCCGTCATTCATGTTGTGTTTGTGAAATGAGTGAGTGAGTATGGTTTTACGCCGCTTTTGTCACTATTCCAGCAATATCACGGCGGGGACACCAGAAATGGCCTTCACACATTGTACCCATATGGGGAATCGAACCCAGGTCTCCGGTGTGACGAGTGAGTGAGTATGGTTTCACGCCGCTTTTAGCAATATTCCAGCAATATTACGGCGGGGGACACCAAAGCGAACGCTTTAACCACTAGGCTACCCCATCTCCCCGTTGTGTTTGTAAGCCAATGATTAGCCAAATTGATTGTTTTTGTTAATAACCAAATGGTTCCGTTATGTTTCATATATGTTATGATTGGGGGGCTTTGAAGGTGGTAATGGGGGTGGGGGAGTTGTGAATATAGAACTGTGACGGGGTCCCATTTGTGACGGGGTCCCATTTGTGACGGTATAACCATTTATGTGAACCCAAATTAGCTGTCGACAATTACAGTAACAGAAGTATACTTCAAAACCAAAACGATCCGGGTACAGAATAGGTCTTCAGCAACCCATGCTTGCGATAAGAGGTGACTATGCTTGTCGTAAGAGGCGACTAACAGGATCATGTGGTCAGGGTCGCTGACTTGGTTTGATGCATGTCATCATATCCCAATTGCGTAGATCGATGCTCATGATGTCAATCACTGGGCTAGAAT